TCCACTAATAGGCTTTTCCATTTATATCCACTAATAGAAACCCAAATGGATTCAACATCCTTGTTATTATCTTTGATATCCTCAACTTTAATAGGATGTAAATCACATTTTACATATAAAGCCACTCCTCCCCTCTCTTTAATACTCTATCCCTATTAAATAGCCTGTATTTCAAAGAAAGTTCTGTCATCAAAATCATCTACGTTTAACCATGTTTCAGTTATTCCCATTATTATATAACAATAAGCCAGTAATATTTGCTACTCATGCTGTTTAGCTTGTCCCTTAGCAACAAATATATGTTTTCTAAGTCAGAAAAGCAAAATATATTTGTTTAATAGATTTTGTACATTCTATATGGTTTGTGGTTTGTTTTAAATTTTATGGAAAGCTACACAAGGGCTATCTGCACTAGCTGTTCCTAATTTTTGCAGTAAAAGACTAGAAGGAAGGCAGCTAGTCATCACCACCCACTACCAGCTCTTGGGTTACTCTTTTACCAATGAATAATGAGATTAACCATTACATTGTAAAGCCCCTACAGCTGAAAGGGTGAGCATGTTTGGTGGGGTTAGGATTTGAACCCACGACCTGCAAACTGTGAGTTGAGCACCCTAACCACCTGGCCATGCCAGGCCCATTCTATATGGAAAGTTTAGAAGGAAAAAGTACTTTTATACTACAGAATGTTTAAAACATTTTCATCATCATTACGTTACATTGATGAGAAGAAATTACTATTCTTGCTGGTTTGCGGTTGTTATTTTATAAGAATAAAGTTTTTTACATTATTCTTACATAATAGTTCTGAATCTACATCAATTTTATTGTGATAAACAAACAGTGACTGAAATGGATTAAGCCATGGGTGTTTAAAATTCTTTATTTAAAAGTGTACAGTCCCATCATAGAAACAAGCTTGAAATCACTTCAGTCAAATTTGTTTTAGAATTATCTTATCTCAAGACTGTTTTGTGCAAGAAACCCTACCCAGAGTAAAATAACTCAAATAAGGCCAAACTTCCCTATTTTACTGAAGTGGAGAAGAAAGCAAGATCTCAACTAGTTAAAAATTACCATTATTTTATGCAACAGAGAGAGAGAAACTGTATTTGACTCTTCAAATGTTTTAATGTTCTTACAGTGAAAAAGTAACACTTTTCTCTACTAAAGAGAACATGCAGAACATGTTGTTATTAAGTATATTATGGACAAAACAAATACATTTTGGACATTTGATATATGAACCATTTCTTTCAGCTTTCATCAATTTATGGCCTTAGTGAATAATCAATCATGTTATTGATTGCTACAAGTTTTAAGTGTTGTTATTATATGTACTTATCTTAAAGAACAATAATTTTCAGCTTCTTTGCCATTGCAACTATTATACTCCCTCCCCCAAAAAAAACAAAACATTGTATTCATCCTTAAGTTTAAGGAATGAAGTAGTGCTTTTGATATATTTTTCTTCTAAAATATTGGTTTTCCATTATTGATTTTTCTTTACAAAATCAAACACATTGCAGTGCTCTAGAATTGCTCCTTAAAATATGTGCCATGTATATTACAATTCTTGTGATGTCACATGCTTTGATTTCAGGGCTTAACATTTATATGTTTACCTCTGCAAATAAGAAGCAGCAAAATAATAGAGAGAATGAAAATATTTTATAAAAAATAATATATATATATATATATATGTGTGTGTGTGTGTGTGTGTGTGTATATAAAAATTTTTAAAAATTTTCAGTAATAAAAGGAAGTCTTTCTATTTTGAGACAAAAAAGTAGTTGTCAACTTGTATATTTGATTTCGAATATGGAGATATTACGTACCTACAGTTTTTGCATAGTTACACTTTTTTTTTAAATTAATATTGGTACTTTTTTGGTCCAGTGCCTTATAATAAATAAAAGTTAATGTTATGTTTATATTTCTCCATACATAATTTAAAGCAAACAAGAGAGACATGTAATAATTGTTTGTGCTGTATAGATCTGTTTGATACTGGAAATGGAAGAGTTAGAAGAATTTATTGTAAAGCATTTTCTGAATTTTGGGTTATTACAGTATAACTTTAAAACGGATGATTGAAATTAAAAAACGTTTTTTTTATATAATTATTATGGGATTGAAGATGAAAAATATATAGATGGTTTGCTTGCAAAAACATATACTTGTACTGTACTTAGGTTTTACATATAGTGATATATATATAATAAAGGTGTTGCATTTTACATTGTTTCCTTTATTCAATTTGTAGAAACATTCATCCAAATAATTTTTTATTGATAAAATTCATTTGTCTATAACTACTGATTGTAAAGTAAATAGAAAGTTTAACATCAGTATTGTATTTTAGGCTCCTCCAATGAACCTGTTTCCACACAAGAAAAGAGAAATCCCAGCTTTACAATTTTGTCCAAAGATTCTGCAACATTCCAAGTGAGTTGTTAGATCTTCTTTTCATCTTTAGTTTCATCAATACACTGATTTATAACAAAACCTTCTCAAAATCAGAATTTAAGATCTAATAACAAATATGGTGTACGTCATTTGTGAAAAAAGAAAACGGGATTTAGAGGCTCTGAAGTTACGAAAACAATTGAATTGCACTAATCCTATATTTTCATGTAGAATCATTAATTTAATATGGTAAAATAGAAATTAGGTTAAAATATTATCAAATCTTTTTGTTGCCTAAAACCATAATACTTCTGAAAATATAAAGATAGTATAAAATATATATAGTTAAGAACACTTTCATTCTTAAGATAAAATTTTATACAGGTAACACAGTAAAACCAATTCTTCAAAAACTAGATGTTCTGTGTAAACTTTTTGCTTTTCCTGTGTCTGTTAATTTTGAGGATTGATAGCATGAACTTTAATAGCTGATGTTGAGAGTAATCATTGTTAACTTCCACTAGTTATATTCCCCTCAACGACAACAAAAAACTTGACAATACTTATGAGACACAGCTTGAATGTTTGGTAATTTATAGGACCTCCATTGGTTGTATGATTATATGTCCTTTTTTATTCATAACAGTTCAGCAGAATGGTCATTTTGAGTCCACATGGATCAGTACTTCAGGTCTGTGTCTTGGATGTCAGACTTTTTATTATTAAGATCAATGCTGTAAGTGAACAACTTCCATCAACACTTGCAAACAGTTTCTATATTAATGACTTTTTTATATCCTTTTAGTCATCAAATATGTCCAAACTGCAAATGGTTTTACATTTTCATCATCTAACAACTTTGATGCATTTCTGATGCCAGTAAGGATTACCCCATGAACCTGAGCTCCATCTGGGTTAGGAGATGTCCAAGTTCTTGTTGTGGCTAAGACTTGCATTCTTGGGACTTCTCCTTGATAATAAGCTGGTTTTTATTGCATACATATGAGGACACAGATAGCAGATAGATCCAGATTTATTGTGCCCTTGTTTGATTTATGGGTCTCTTGTCTATGTCTCAACCAGGAATGCAGTATTGAGGATGTTAGACTCTGTGCATCGTCAATGGCTATGCTCTACATGATGTGGGCCTTCTCCAGTCCAGAGCTTGTTCTCAGAGTCCTATTAACCTCTACTTCTTGTTTGAAAGTTGCAAGTTTCTTTGTAGTATGCTTGCAAAGCTGTGACTACAACCAAGCATCCTAATTGTTTAACATCTGTTTTTACCAAGTTTTTCTGAATATTCACAAGCAACTGTTCCCTTTTATGTGGTTCTCTATATTCATTTAGTTTTTTGGATTCTTGGCCATGTCAATACCAAGAAAATGAGCTAACGGACACCACAGCCAAATCTGATTCTCTGATAACATCAAATTTTTGCCTATTCCATATATGGATTTTAAAGCCTGCCCTATGAAAAAAATAAAAACTTTCATGCCATTTAATATGTGATTCAGGACAAGGACCCCATGTTTCTCCTGAAATATTGTCCACTTTTAACTCTCAGACTATTGCTATATGTTGTACCTCATTGTGTCCCTTTAACATTGGGCAGTATCTTGAAAAAGAGTGACACAGCCTAGTAGGAGTGGTTTTTAAATTTTATTGACCATAAGTTTTTTAATCTTAAAACAGTCTTATCTGGTGCCATTTTTACTATATATAATTGATAAATCATTTCATTTGATGGAAAGTAGAAATAGTTTAGCACAGATAAACTATAGTTTTGTGTCAAAAACCTCCAAGTGCCCAACTGCCAATACAAATGTTGTGGATTCTCCAGTCCTGCATTATCTTCATCTTTCTGTGGTATTCATAAATCATTCAAGGTTATTCATCAAATCAATATAATCCTTCCTAATTAGTTGAAATCATTAACAACACACTGATATGAGATGTTCTTTGTCTGCTGTGTCTTTCATTATTCATAAATTACAGTCAGAAAAATGGAATGGATATGCATCAATATTTTTTGTTCTACGTTAAGATAAATCAGTAAAATGTAAAGGTAAATTTTACAATTGAATCATCTACGTAAAGATGTTACATCAAAACATCCATCCAAAAATGTCATCATCATCAGGACAGCTCTTGTCTGGATAATGAAGCAGTCAGTTGTTTCGTAGATGTTGAAGGAAAACAAGTGATAGCAAAGTCTTGATTCAAGAACTCCTCAAAATGATTTAATGGTGCTAAGATCTAGCAGACCTGAACAGATGGTAAAGGCTTTCTCATCTCAAGCAAACGAGTCTGCAAAATTAACTCATCGTCAGTGGTAATCTTCAGTATTGTTTATGTGGTTTGTCCTGTCTCTTAATGGACCAAGTCAAACAACACAATGAGACAAATTCATCCTTTATAATTGAACGAAAGTTCTCATTGATCACCTTCTTGATGAGAGAAGGTGAATGTTTGCATCAGACAGATTATGTTTAGTCACTGTTTCCAGATTCTTATTATTGAAATGTTGTGTAAGTAAATGTGCTTTACTATTACTAGTATCTGTTCATTAAGCTTACACAAGGAACAAAACTAACTTAAATTCCACATGCACACAATCAACAAAATGTTTAGATGCCAAAAGAGTTTTCTGTGCCAAAAAGGAAGACAATTTGATTCACGAAAAAATTTAAGAGTCCAATTATCGTTACGTTTTTTCTTTTATTTGTGTGGGGAGGGGGAGCTTTCCTACATGAGAGGAATACCATCACATAAGTCCATGAAACCTACAGCTGTAACCTACCCTTTAGATGTAAATAAATCTAGATTTTGAAATAAATGGTCACAAATAAATATCAAATTGAGGCTATGTATGGACACACTGATTTATTTTAGATCCAGATCTTAGACTATTTCTGGAATTCCATAACTGTACACTTAATGGGAAGCCACACGTCTGCTGTAACAGTGATATTAAACACAAAGCTTTATGTAGCTTAGACTTCCAACTTTGGCTCTGGGCTACAAAATCATAAATTCAACATACAAAAAAATAACTTGGAGGATACTTCCTTTTAAACTAGCCAGAAACCAAGATATTATTTTAGCTAGTATAAGACAGTCCGGCACGTTTTTTTTAATTTTGATGTGCCCCCACTTGATTTTTTTAGGAGCATTTAACACCAGGTAATTTTGCAACCTGTAACACCATACAGTTTTATGAGATGTTGGTCCTAGAGTATATTTTGGTTGTTTTTGTCTTCATGTTTTATTTCACACAAGCTAAGGTACCCATACTTTGTCTGGGTTATGAACTTAAAATAATGTGGAGATGGATGCTATGATAAATAACACAAAAAATAATAATTTTCACAAAGTTTATTTATACCATATTACTACCGTATTCATTATTACCTCACCAAAAGTTTTGTATAAGCTATAAGAATTCAATATGTATATACTTAGAACATGGTATACACTGTACGATGGTCAGGGTGACTTTGTAGGAAGAGGTAGTGGTGCTTTCTTTTACCCGCTTCCAACACCCACTGTGTTTCACATGATTAATTAATTGATGGTCATTGGCTGCAGAAGTGCCTTACAAGCCAAAGTTGAAAGTGGGTATAACTCAAGAAACTGCTTTTCATATCAACCTTTTGGTGGCTGTTGGAGTAGAAATTTTAGCAGAGTTTATGTATATTGCAATAGGGGCAGCTATTTTTTTTCATTGTATACTCTCCGAAATATATGATATTTGTGTGCTCTAAGAGTAGTTAGATAATGGACAATCATTGCATATTTATTTCGTATGATTAGAATACATTCATATTATTTGTCTAACTTGGTGATACTTGGTCTCTATTCTAGACTCGGAAAGGATCATTCCTTTGTCGAGATGGAAATACTTTATCACGCCTTGCAGAAAAACTAAAAAGTGCCAGTGACAGCAGTGTATCAGGCCCGCGGAGTGCCAAAAATTTTGTTTTCCAGACAGTTTCTCCATCGAAGAAGTCTAGTGTAAGTTAAATATGGTTGAAAGAATGAAAACAAAAATTGGTTATTGCTTTTATATTAACAATGTTTGACAGAAAATTTCTGAAGTCCATTGCTGGTGTTTTGATTATATGTTTCATTTAATTCAATGCTGGAAAATTTTATTATTTGAGATATGTAACTACTAATTACTCAGGGTCTAACATTGGTTCATATTATTATCTTGTAAAACTATGTTTTAATCAAGACGCGTGGAAGTGTGTCATGTGGCCAAGACACCGCGTCTTGCAGATTGTTTTGAGCAGGAGTGATAGTTTAGCAATTTTCCAACTGTGGTGATCCAAACTATCATATTTTCAGTAGATGTGCTCCACTGGACCCTTACTTTATATACCAAATTTTGAGGCAATCCATTAAGAAATACAAGAAGTATAAAAATCTCCAATTTTGATTGAATTTCTTTTTTTTTCTTTACATTAGTAGTAGGGAAACATTATTTAATTAAAAAAACATACTTAACTTTCATAGATTTTGTTTGTTTTTTTCAACTATAAGCCCATGTGCAAAGTTATTCAACAAAAAACATTCAATTTTAAGCACGTCTACACAAAAAGTAATGTGAGCTATCAGTCTAAGCTTCACCTGAGAGTAAAGGTAGGTTGTTTTTGTCATTCAGATTAAAGACAGTTGATTTAGAGCAGCAAAACTACAGGGTGAAAGCACATGCAGATACCTAAATGTTGGTTAGACCAAGCAAACTATATTAGCAGTTTTTAGCTCAAATTTACAAAAGAATCATATGGGTGGACAGTTATTATTCATTGCCAACTTTTAAGCAAAAATTAACTAAATTTAACAAAATGCTTCTAATTAAAGAGCATCTAGTGTCACGTGATACTGGCATTTATAATGACGCTTGCTACAGCTATACAACGTGCATGTGGGTTATGACAAGAAACTGAATCTAAATTTCATGGTGTTACTATAAAGGAAGTTATTAACCCTGTTTTTGAAAGTAAAAACTACCCCTATATATTTTAAGGAATCTGGTTGGTTCTGTAAGGGTCTGTTCCAAATAATAAGGTTGCAACCCTAAAGTTAATGTGGGTCTACTATCGAGTGTCACTTTTGTACTTGCTATGGTTTGTTTGTGTGTATTGACAAAAATTTATAATATCCAAATCATAAACACCTTAGGTGCCAAAAAAAGAATAAAATCAAACTGGTAGCTACACTTATAGCATTGATAAGAATTTTACACAAATATTTTTATTAATTAGTTAGCTAGGCCATGTATTTTGTTTTACTCACCACCATGCCCAAAGTTAACAAAAAATGCAGCCTGGCTATCTAATGAATGAATATTTGCTGTAAGTGTAGCTACCAGTTTGATTTTATTCTTTTTTTTGGTAACCTAAGGTGTTTTTGATTAGATCTTTTTAACATATTCAGAGGCTTTTGTTTTTATTGAACTACTATTAATCTATTTTCTACAGGTAAGACACGCCAAAAAAAGTCAAGAATGCACAACACATCCAAAAAAGAAATGTAAACTGGAGCCTATTTTAGCTGACAGCTCACAAAATAGCATTTTCAATTTTCTGTAGTTTAACATAAGTATGAAGTGGGTATTTGTATGTACAAAAATATTTCAAAATATATATATATATATATTGTCAAAAATAAACTATAGTTTTTAAAAACCACAAATGTAACCTGTTCTTTCATCACTGTTTGCATTAAAAAAGGACAACATAGAAATTGGTATCTTTAACATTTTGCTAAGTTAATACATCTCTATACACGTTCTCAAACATTTGTCAGTTGCATAGTTATTAGATAGGTACAGTAAAAAAATTAAAATAAAATATGTAATGTCACAGTTATTTATTCACATAATGCCAATATTATAAATTATTCTTTTATCTCAAAAATACCTAATGTCCAAACTTAGAATTACATGTACTGTAATGTTAAAAAAGAAATATGAGAGGCAAAGTACTTAATACCAAGTATCAGACATTTAGTCTTAAATTATATACAATGTGCCAACCAAGGCTATGAATCATTTCCAGTCACAAAAAAAAAATTTTTGCTCTGCTGTAGGTATTTTATAACAAATCCCACTATCTGGTGTTGGGTACTGTTGGCTAGCTGCTTTCCCTCTCGTCAATAAGTTCAAAATTGGCTTTTAAGAAATATCTGAAAATAAACAATTTTTAATTTACATGTTGAGAACGTAAAATAACCTGTGTGCTAGATCTTTGTTTTTTAAGTGACAAAATGAAAAGAAATTTTCAATGCAATATCAAAGATACCAAATATTTATTAATCATGCAATAGTAAGTTTTCTTTTGCTTATATCTCAATTTGAAATCATAAAACAGAAATTTTGTACCCATGTTAATTGAACTTAAAATATAGCAAATACCCTTTGCTTTGAATACCTGTTATCTTGTGTGGTCCACATTGGTATTAGTCCTGTTCTTACAGTAACAAATATATTTTGTTGCAAAATTAAAATCCCTCACTACATAGCACCAAAAAATAAAAATGCCTCTCCTCGCACCATTTGACTAGAGTTCTGGTCATTTTTAAAGCTACAATGACCTGTAATCAATACAGCAATATGAAGTTTCTATGTAAAATAATGCTAACCTTACACAAACAATTAGTCTAATATAAAAGTATTTATAACATTCTCATACAAAAAGACATTATTATAAAAAAACGTGTGCAAGATCCATGTATTAAGATTGAAAGCAGCATTAAAAAAATCAAGTTGACTTCTATACAATACAGCACTGAATATGGTGGGTTAAGTATGACAATTAGAAAGTGAAACACAAAAATAAACTTGTATCATAAGAAGCATAAACATTTTGTGTTAGTTAAAGTCAAAGCACTTATCACATGTTTTAACATTTCCTTGGAGTATTCATGAAAACCTGTTACTAAACCAATGTCTGACACACTGGACAATTGAATCCCAACGAATCAAACATGATTAGTCAGAAGGCTGATATTTAACTTTACCAACTTAATAGCTATTGATTTAAGTAACAATGTTAAATTCATAAAATACCAAAATAAAATGTTATGACACTAAATGCATAAAAGTTGTTATTTTACTAAAACTTTTTCATGTCAAAATTTTAAAAAATACTGTTTTCCTACACAAATTTTATATATTTTATTGACTGCAGTTTAATCACAGGTAAAGAGCTTACAGAACATTCAATAACACTACTGACCAAAGGTAAAACCAAAAAATTTTTACCTGTGTGTTTGGCAATCCATTCTAGTCAGGTGCAAAACTAGTAGTCAGCAGTCTGTTTTGTAGAAGAAAAGTCAGGAGCAGTTGGTACTGGTGGATCATTAAGATGTTGGTTCTCTCCAGTATAGGCTGGATAGGGTGGTGGTGCATAATTTGGAAAAGGTTGATTGATGGGTTCATTGGGAGGGTTAACTCTCCCTGATCCATAGAAATGTTGATTTGGTCTTCCATCAAAAACGTTTGCTCCTGGTGGTGGTGGATAAGGCTGAAAAGGTGTAGCACCTGACAAGAGAGGTGGTTGTGTGTTTACCACTTGTTGTGGTTGCCATTGGACTACAGATTGTAGCATTGTCTTTGTTCTGATATACAAAATAATTCCAAACACTAGTATTGTAAAGCCCAAAACAAGAAGCACTGGTCCAATTATTTTATCTGGCTGTGGACCCCTGTCAAAAAAGGGATCATCAAAAGGAGGATACCTTGGTTTATATGCAAAACCAGTGACAAAACAACCCATGAAAATCAGTCCAAACCCAGCAAAAGCTAATACTCCCCCACACCTCATTCTTGTAATGTATTGCATGTTTTGTGGATTTTGAAACTGGAACATGACTCCTGTAGTAGTTCACTGGTGTGCAAGATTTTTTCTGAAATTTAAAATAAACATTTTTAATATGTAAGTGGATTAATAACTATATTTCTGAACCAAATTAAAAATGAAATACTTGTATATTTTTTACCACATATGCATGTACACTGAGTATAGAAGTTGCCTTATGAATTATATGAATACTTTTATAAAACTTTTTGAGTATCTGATACACACTAAGTACTTCAACAGACACAAGTCTGTTTTATTTAATCTGTGGTACATTTTGTGTAGTATTCTGAAATTAAAATATACCTCTTGGACTTTTCTAAGCATAAAATATTTTATTTCTACAATTTGTTTTTTTTTTTTGTAAGTGAAAAGTCCAAAAGGTATATTTTAATTTCAGAATACCACACAAAATGTAACACAGATTAAAGAAAACAGACTTGTGTCTGTTGAAGTACTTAATGTGTATCAGATAATCGAAAAGTTTTATAAAAGTATTCATAAAGTACTTGTTATAAAATATTTTATTTCTACAATTTGTTTTTTTTTTGTAAGTTAAAAGTCCTCATCTCTTTACTTGAATCATGGACTTCATATACTTTCTTTATTCCCTTTAATGTCAAGCTTGTAATATTATGTCAGAAGACAACCAACTGACCCCTTCCCAATTTCTTGTTTTTAACGTAACTACAATGTACATGGATTTTAATTAGTTGTGGTTCAAGAAATGTACGATCATGTTTCTCTTTTTCTGGTTTAGTTACAATCACATTTAGATGAAATTGTGTTCATGGATTGAAAACCTTCAATGGAAAAATCTCAGAAGTTTAATTTTTTTTATAACATGATACATCTATTGATTAACTGAAAAATACTGTCATTAGAATTCACTTTTTGTGTGCTTGTTCTACCTAAAACAAAACATCTGTCTTGTAATTGTTCTAAGTATTGTTTTTTGTCTTATTAATCTCAACTGTAGATTGTGTGAATTAAGCATAATTAATTTTTCCTTAATTTCAATTCTAAACATTATTTCATATTGTTTTCTTAGTTTTCTTTATGATTGGGTTACTCATAAAGTAAGCTATTGTGTGTTCATCAGTCAGTATTTACAGTAATTAGGCCAAGTTACTGCCATTATTACATCTAAGGTTAAGTAGCAGCATGAACAAAGTGTCACAACTTTTCTCCAAGTTCATAAAAGTGGTGATAAAACTGATCCTTGACAGGTGATGCATCTCTCCAAACCAATTCTTGTAGAATTACACAAGTCTATGAGCTACCGTTTCACCAATGACTATCTACACGTACATGTAGAAGGATTTTCAATTTTACATCAATTAGAAGGTACCATGTCAATTTTAGGAGGTATCCAACAGATGAGCAGTCTGAGGTAGCACCCTGGTGAAGGTTCAACTGAGATGATTACTGTACCAATTTTTTTTAAAGCCATTGTGTCTCTAACTCTATTTGTGCAGGCTGGACAGAAAGTGCATAAGCCATGACATGACCATTTACAGAGTGCCATTCAACATGGTATTATGTATTTGATGTCAGAGTTATCAGCTATTCATTTTACCCTATGTTGCTGACTTGACAACAATTCGTGGTATAAAAGAATAAATATCAGATACAATTCAAACAGATATTGTAATAACTGTAGATATGCATTTCAGAGGTTCTAGAGATTATGCAAATTCTAAGATGGATAAAAGTATTTTTATTCTACATATGCACATCACCTTGTACTTCCACTTGGAGACTGACCTCATCAATTCACAGACATATCTTGAGTATAAATACCTTTGTAACTCATCTAATTATTTTTGCACAACAGACTTGTACATTTTAATAAGAGCTTGCTAAATTTATCTAAATACACATGGTACACTTGAAATTGTAGTCAGTATTCCTTCTCCAACAGAAACTCAGTCCAATAGACCTAGCACTTGTTTATTCGTTTGATGTGTCAATTTAATATTTTGTAATAATTTTTCTACGGTACTACATATAAATCCAATTAAATCATTCAAATATTCATGTTTTATTTTTTTGCAGATTGTATAATCATATTGTGAGCACTGGTTAAAAGTCATAAAAATGTTTCATTCCTTCATAAATTCTATTTCATAAGCATATTATTGAACTAGCAAAAACACCCGGCTTTGCTCTGGTTATTAAGTTGATATATTCTAGATGACTATGTCAGCATGTGTATTCTGAACCCATTTTTGCATAAAAGTACAACCTATATACTTTTGTTGCTCCTTTATGGGATGTGGCCTGTTTATAAAAGTATCCTACCATCTGACTTGTCCTCCAATTTTAAACTTAAATAATAAAAAACATACCTATTTAATTAATGGAGCCTCTAAACATCATTTCTGAAACAATAGATGATCCACTTCACTAATCATGATATATGTAAGAATGTAATGACTTCCTTCGAAATGAGCTTTTCAAAAGCTGCTTATGGTAAACTTAAAGAACTTTGTTCAGTATATGGCATTAACATTTACAAAAATTCTAGTTTTATTATTGTGTTTTGTAGTTATCCTTATACTTTGTAGTGTTGGAATGAAAATTTTAAAAAACATTTTTTTTTATTTGCAAGTTTCCCATACAAATGTTATGTTCATTATAAATCAATTACACTTAAGTAAAATTATCATTACCTTATTTAAATGACTAGAACCAGAGACCAAAACATAGAATATATATCAGACCTTTCTATATCTGTATCACTGAGGTATTAATCTCATGATTCAACCAACCCACGAAAATTGTAACACCACAAATAATACTAAAATCACAGTAAATTAATACTAGTTTTTTCATAAATAGCTAGCCATATGCAAAAAAATTTTAAATATCAATTTGTATATATAATTAGAAATAATTATGGAACTTCAAAACTGGTATAAATGTGGAAAAAGGGTTTAAACGTGGTACCTAATGCAATTTACCAACATAATTGGAACAACCATAGTGTTATATTTTCTGAAAAATAAAATTAGGAAGTATTGAAAATTGGAAAAAATATAATTTATTTGATTTTATATAGAAATCAACAATTGTTAAAAACCTAACACATGTACAGTAATTCCTTTTCATACCATAACAAAGTGAAGTGATTTTCTTTTTAGGATTATTTTTTTGGTGTTATTATCAGGCCACTACACCTAATCATGTACAGTACATCTCATCAATATAAATTCAGCCCTCTTTGTTAGAAAGAAACTGTTATACATTATTTTTACTTCAAAATGCTATAATACAATATAATGGAATATTCTATATCAGTGGTTCTAAAACTTAATTATCATGATCCAATGACAATCTTGCAGACCTCCAGAAATTGATGTACAGTGTATAAAAGCAGCACTTGCATAAATACGCAAGTTCGTAAAATTTTCAAGTAAAATATTATTTTCATTTAATCAATATAATAATTTTTTTAACTATAATAAGGAAACTCAATCATTACCATCATGGAACCACTTCAGAATGTCCAAAGGTCCTTTAGGAGTTGTCAGATCACAGGTTAAGACCACAATTCTAGATTAATCTTGATTAACTTATTTTACTTTTAAAATATCACATATCTTCATAGATATTATTTAATTTAGTCACATGTCAGACAAATATAAGGAAAATATCCACATTTAAATTTGGACACTTTAATATGATAGGAAATTCATATTTAATATTAAATAATATATAAGCAGTATAAGTGTCCTAAGATTGACTATTTCATATAAATCTTTAAATGAGACAAAAAGGTATGACATTAAACTAAATAACACGATCCTTTTACTATCACATGTACATTCTACTTCTTATGCTGTTAAGTTACAAGTATGTTTCTGTGCTACATCTCTGATCATATGTAATTATGCTGTGAGGACGGAATACCCTATTCAGGCAGTAAACATACATTTCCAAGTAACTGTGTAACCTATAAACATCTGCAACATCCAAAATGTTTTAAATCTATTTGAACCAGATGAATAACAAGGTAGCACTGAAGTAAAGTTAACTTCCAGATGATTAGCAATATTCGTGCCTCACAAGGAAGCAAGATGAATATATCAATTATTTACAGCAATTTTATAGAATGGAGGATTTCCATCAAGATTTAACATCCAGTTTTGGAACTTTCCTTATCTAAGATCATTATTTAAATGAAAATACATTACAATTTTCAGAAATTATACCCTGTTGAATCTTCATTGGAAATGGATTAGGCATGTAATCAGAGAAGGTCTTATAAGGAAGAATAAAAGGAAAACAACCTAATGGATGGAAAAGGATTATTCTGCTAGATAAGCTAAATAAAGGAAGAATGTATGATAATGTAATGAGGAAAATAGAAAAGTATGAGTGGAATAGTGATTTTAGTCCTAAATCTACCTACAGCAGAAAGCCTGTTAAATTTTCACTGAATTAGTTAAATTAAAAACTTACAGACTCTGGTTCAATTTGTTAGTTTTCACCCAGCAAAGCTGATGATTTTTGACTTTATATTGCTTTCTTCATGTCTGTTGAGAATTTTAGTTCACAGAGTGTACAGTTATGTTTAAATTCAATGATTCTGTTAATTTTTATTTGCTGGTCAGGTGCCAGTTACAACAATGAAAAACTACATTCTAGTGACCACAGCCATCAGTAAACATATATCAACAAGTTAGGGTTCAAAGTTCCCAATAGTAACAACAAGTGCCTTTGTAGTCCTTTCAATCCAAACTCCTCTCCCAACTGAAGAAAAAAATTACTGAGTAGTTGTGCACAAGTTCATAATGTGAGCAGAAGGACTTGGTCAACAACTACTGATTTTACAGAGTTCAAGAGCAACAACAAATTTTAGGTCCACAACCACCACCACCTGTCATATCAGGTTCTGCATATTTTCATTCTGATCTTCCACCTTCAGGAACATCTTTGGGACAACCAAATCTACCTTTCTCTGGAACTGGATATGTTATTCCTCCTGTTGACACTCAGCCTTTTCCAGTTGAGGCACTACCACCATATTAAACTAATAGTGGA